TACCTTATTTTGAAGGTTTTGGTGTAAACGTCGAACAGATGCGCAAATTATGCATTGACCAGTGAAGATAGTAAAAACAAGCAATTTGATGACACACTTTTTGCGATGACATTCAATAAATACGTAACCGGTAAGAACAGACTTTACAGAATATTTTGACGTAATAATACGTAACCAGTAAGAACAGACTTTACAGAATATTTTGAGCAAAGAAAAAATCTTACGTAACCGGTAAGAACAGACTTTACAGAATATTTTGACTAAAGATAAATTTCTAACCGGTAAGAACAGAGTTTACAGAATATTTTGACTAAAGAAAAATTCTTCTATTATGTAGAAGGTGGTTGCTTCAAGTTTTCAACTTAACACAATACCTAAATTTACTGTTCTAATTTAGAGCTCTTTTTTACGTCTCTAGAAACACGGCATTATCGAGGAGTTATCTTCCCTTAACTAGTAATTCCTATAGTTATTTTAAGTACTTAATAGGCCTTATGCCGTTCATTGATTTCTATGTTTTCCTAAATACATTCACACTGGTATTGGAGTAATGATCAAATTTACTATGTTTTCCTAAATACATTCACACTGGTATTGGAGTAATGATCAAACCTAGACAAATTTTCCTAAATACATTCACACTGGTATTGGAGTAATGATCAAACTTATGCAAAGTAAGGAAAATTACGTGGTCAACGGCGACCACTGTAGATTGCCCGGACACCCTCTCAATCTACGTGTGACTGGGGCAAGACTGAACACACGAAAATTCTTCTTCTCTAAGAGGATAATCCAGGCATGGAATGCTCTACCCGCATACATTTTCATGTCACCATCTGTGGACACGCTGAAGATGCATTTGGATCAGCATAGAAAAAGACATTCTCTGTAATGATGCGAGACTAGTTGCATTACCGCCCGTCAGCAAGTAAGATTTAGCACCAGACTCTCTGGCAGTAATTAACTTTTTTAAACATACTGCTCGCTACTTTTCAGTAATATGTTTGTTTAGAATAACGACTGATCGCGAGTCTCGTATGAGGGGCGCATCTCCGACACTCGGTGACGATCTCGTGACCACCGCGATCTTCTCCTCGTGTGACCATTAGGATAA